ATGTGTCTATTATGGATTTTTTTTTATTTTTATTTATAATCTGAATTTATTTAACGTTATTTTAAGGGTTGCATCAATTATTTGGTTAATTTTTCCATGTAAGTAAATGTTTTTAACCTATTTTTTTGGATACTTATTTTTTAATCATATTATAATCATAATATATTTTTTTTAAGTTATCTACACAATTTCCACCTTTAATGAAATGAAAGGCATCCCACAATTTTGCCCAAAAGATTATCAATATAAATCTAACATAGTTTTTACTGCATGTACTATTCGTCTAGCAAATTTAATTTGCATGTGGATATATTTCGCATTATTAGCCCTTGCATTACCTCTTGGGTGGTCTATTTTTCGTACTTTGGATTCTTATCCAGATCCAATGGCTGCACGTTCTTAAACTTTTATAAATGAAATCATTTATTTATTTTTGTACTTTTTTAAATTAAAATTTAAATTTGAGAATAGTTTTAACGTTTAAAATAGTTCTAAGTGAATTTCACTAAAAATACAAGTAATAGTTATGTCCTGGGCAGTTGGGTATAAGTGGAACTTTGCAATGAATATAATAGACCGCGTAAGCGGCCGATTAAACTACTACACAATTTCGCTTATATCCAACTACACAGGATATAACTGATTTATCCCCTGCCATCTTTGTAACATAATTTTCATGTAATTTTAAAGCGAAACTTTTATTTTATGCACTGTTTTTGACATTTAAGATTAAATAGGATAATACTCGATTAGAGAGATCCGTTGATCGGCAATCCGTATAACTGTTCAAAATAAGTATTTTTGTGTAATCTGTATTATTCGTATATCTTTTGTGTAAACTACTGTTCAAACTATACAAATTGTACGTAGTTAACTGTTTAACTGTTCGAACTATACGGATTATAGTTAACTATGCAAACTATGCGGATTGTTAGTCAATTATTCAAACTATTGAATTTGTTTAACTATGCGGATTGTTAGTCAATGATTCAAACTATTGAATCTGTTTAACTATGCGGATTGTTAGTCAATTATTCAAACTATTGAATCTGTTTAACTATGTGGATTATTCAAACTATTGAATCTGTTTAACTATGCGGATTGTTAGTCAATTATTCAAACTATTGAATCTGTTTAACTATGCGGATTGGTAGTCAATTATTCAAACTATTTAATCTGTTTAACTGTGCTGATTGATGATCTCGTTTGTTAATTTGGGGTAGTTATAACGTAATTAAATATTCTTTATTTTTTTTTTTACTTGATTTAGCAAACAACGAATCAAAGAAATAAAAAGACCTGGGCCAGCGTTTCATCCATTTAACTTTATTGAAAAATGCCTGTTAGTAATAAGAATGATGTTGAAGCATCTGATAAGACTTTTAATAAAAAAACAAAGGTCGATGATACCCGTGTGGTAGTAATATCAGAAGTTAGATTTGGTTGTACTATTTGTACTTTGATCCAGTGTATATTGATAACTGATAATATAAGATATGCGATTTGTAAGGTCGAGACAGTAAAAGAAAAAAAAACGCGACACAAAATACAAGGTTAACACGTCAACGAGGAACTGCTATTCTCATCTTTCAAACGTTGGTTTTGAAATATCCTGAACGTGTTACGTTACACCTGATTCTTGAAATCCGATTTGTGGATCAGGGATCTGCGCCACAATGATCGACATAACCTGGCACGGTGCATTCCCAACCACTCACCGTTCTTAAAATCCAGCTTTTAAAAAATTTATAAACGAGTTAGATCCAAAGTTCCAAATTCCATACATTTAATTCTATAAAGAAATTTGTACATATTGAATATAATCACTCGTTCAAGTTAATCGTGGAAAAAGTATTAACGTGTGATTTATGGACTGGTAAAAACCGGCAAAGGTTTTTAGGTATAACATGTTCGTATCTTGATCGTGATCGTAACTTTCGATTTCATGAGGTCACTTTCCATTGAGCACATCCGCCATCCTCATATTGCTGAAAATATCGGAATATTCTTTCTTTGTTGGACGAATTAGAATTACGTGATAAGATTTTCACAGTGACAACAGATAATGATAAGAACATGCAAAAGGTTGTTAGGGATTTAAAACAAACAATCGAAAACATATCATGGCAACCGTGCGCAGCACATACCATTCAACTAGTAATCGGAGAAGTATTGGAACCTATCAATATTCTGGCTGGCCGTGCCAAACGTTAAAAACGTTAAAAGAGCGGCAAAGACAATTGACAATGCTTTAAGAAAAATGGTAACAAGAACTATCAACAAATTCAAGACGTGAGGTTTCACAAAGTTGATCATGATGTTGTGGACATTAGTGCAGATCATGAACAATGGATCACCACGTACACGTTCCATAATGATTGATTTCTTTTTAAGACCAAGCAAATCAGAGTGCCTGGAGAATACAGTATACAGAAACGATATGCAAGATCTAATAAGGTTTAAAGTTTTTTATATTTACTTTATTTATTTATATTTGGAATTTTTTTTTATGTCTGATTTAAATTACTAACTATATATAGTATCATTTTAGAATGCTAAAAAGACTTCGACATATTTGAAACATGTGATTGCAGACGTGCCAACTCGCTGAAACTCCAGGAATGAACATTCGTTGTAACAAAAGGTTGAATTAGCCAAAGATAAAAATCATGATTCTAATAAAGGTTCACAACATCTAACAAAGATAATATTGACAAAGGGTGAGTGAGATTTACTTCGTAATTTGATTTCGATTTTGGGCCCTTTTGAGATACCTTGGTGGTAGCAAATACGTTACATATAGCACGATGAATCCTATAATGATACACATCATTGACATGCTCAAACCAGTATCAATATCACCAGAGGAAATAAATGTTGAAAATATAAAAGATATTTTTACGGAACTCGAAATTTGTGATGATAGTGATATGTATAAAAAGATAGATTTGACAAGCCTATGCAACATCTGGAGTTTTGGAAAAGGTTAAGGAAACTTTGTATCGTGCCATGCGTTTTTACTGAAAAAAAAAATAATATCGAATCATATTTGCCTTCCATTCTTGACCCTCGTGTTAAAAAGTTTGATTTTGCACCTGACAAGATTAAACAAATTCAAGATCTGTTAAGAACCCGATGTGAAAATGCAAAAGATAATTCAACAACCTCAACGCCTACTGCTAACATTTTATCATCCCCTTCCTACTTTCATAACGCTATTGTTTCTCCTTTTTACAAACCAACGCTTTTAAACATCTTTAACAATCCACCACCTCTTAATTTACAGAACGAAATAGAAGAGTACCTTGACACCTTTGATTCTGACTCTTTCATATGGTGAAATATAACAAATCAAAAGTTCCCTGTCTCGAGCAAGTGGTTCGTACGCATCTCTCAGTTTCAGCTACATCACACACCCTCCGAACAACGTTTTAGATAGCATTACATCCTTAATATTTTTTACATATTTACATTGAGAAAATTTTATCCGTTCCGTTCTTTGGAATTGTTTTTTCTTAATCATTAAAAATAATACTGTATGATATATATCACGTATGTTTTATATCTTTATTAAATAAAACATATATATATATATCACGTATGTTTTATATCTTTATTAAATAAAACTTATATATATATTTTTAAACTTATACAAAAATTAAAGACCGTAGAAAATCTTACTCATATATAAAATATAAATACTTAATTTTTAAAATTATAACTTAATTTGAAATACATAATCTAAACTAACGTTACAAAAAGAAAATTAAAAAATTTGCATTTAGCATTAGGATTCTGAATTGAGAAGGTTTAAGACCGATTCCGTATCAACAAACTAAGTGCCCTATTCCCAATATGGTAGATCTGTTTACCTTGGAATTTTCCTCATTATTACAGTATTAAAAATTAGGGATGTTAAAAAGTCCGTCTGGTCCGGTCCTGGTCCAGTCCTTAAAAAGTCCGGTCCTGAACTAGTTAGGAACT